CTCCTAGCGAGTGGGCCCTGAACACACGCGCCCCACTCCCAGAGGCGAGGCCATGAGATCGGGAGGTTTAAAGGGTAGACCTTTGGGGTTTAGGGGTTTAGGGGTTTAGGGGTTTAGGGGTTTAGGGTTCAGTTTAGGGTTTAAGGGTTTAAGGGTTTAGGGGTTTAGGGGTTTAGGGTTTAGGGTTTAGGGGCTTAGGGCTTATAGGGTTTAGGGTGTAGGGTTTAGGGCTCAGGGTAGACCTACCTACAGTCTCCATTGTAGTTCCTTTTTGCGGACACCTTATAAAATCCTCAATATACAAATTAAACCAAAAAAAGGAACTACAATGGAGACTATAGGTAAACCCAAAGACGGATTTAGGGTCTAGGGTTTAGGGTTTAGGGCTCAGGGTAGAACTAAACCCAATTGGGGTTTAGAGATTCAGGGTTTAGCGGCTTCTGGGGGCTTATGGGGTTGTGGTGGGGTTGTTCTGGGGGGGTTGGAGGGGTTCGGGGTAGACCTAAATCCGCAGGTTGTAGGCAACATAATGGCCCAACACCTCTAAACGGCTATGATTCTGCATACTGTTGGGGGTCCACGGAGGGTTCAGGGGCTACTTAAAGGATCATGGGACTTAGTAAGTAGGGTTATAAGTTATAACTGAGGTAACTATACTTATAACCCCAACTAGGGGACTTATAGCCTTACTTACTAAGTCCCATGATCCTAGAACCCTAAACCCTAAACCCTAAACCCGAAAGCTCCAGAGTTGATCTCGGAATCCTAAGACTTAAATGGACGCTTCTCTAAACCAGGGCCCCTTCTAAAACAGGACCTAAGCCCTAAACCCAACACCGGACCCTAAAACTCCTGAAAGGTCACCAAAGGGACCCGAGTTTAGAGAACTACCCATCTACCTCAACCCCAAACCGCAACAGCTCCCGCGATGCCTCAGCCCAGAACCAAGCACCGTGCAGCAGATGGCGATGATCGTATATGATGCCCTTTGGGGCACCACCTGACTCCAAAAGTCCTAAACCCTAAACCCTAAACCCTAAACCCTAAACCCTAAACCCTAATCCAAAAGTGATTGGAGGGCCAGAGGCTCCGAGTTCAGGGCTTATTGAGGCTTCGGGTTTAAGGTTTAGGGTTTTAGGGTTTTAGGGTTTAGGGTTTAGGGTTTAGGGTTTAAGGTTTAGGGTTTAGGGTTTATTGAGGCTTAGGGTTTGGGGTTTAGGGGTTTAGGATTTAGGGTTAAGGGCTATTGAGAGCCAGTCGGCGTTTATGAGCCTTTCTGGGGGGTTTATAGAGTCTAGGCGCGTTTGGAGAAGCAACTACTAGTCGGAGGACATACCCCAATTCAGCACCCGTCATCATGACTACTGTAATAGGTTTTTACACCTGTGTAGACGGGGCCCTTCCTCAGGGGTGTCTTAGCAACCCTGCGATTTACTAGCCCTAAACCCTAAACCCTAAACCCCAAGATTTATTCCAGTCCCGATCTTACTTGCAACCTCTCTTCAATCGGAGAAGTCTCTGAATCAGGGCCCCTTTCAGATCCCTACGGCACCCTTATAACAAGGACCGCAAAAGGGACCCAAACCCTAAACCCTAAACCCCCCAATTTAGAGAGCTACTAAAAAACCCTAAACCCTAAACCCTACCCAACCCAGGATCCCACAAACTGCCTTATATTGGTGCGTCGGTGTGTCGGTCCGGTGTTGTGGAGTATAACCGCCCTGGCGGTCCGGAACAGCGAAATCCAAAACAGTGCATTTAGGGTTTAGGGTGTACCTTAAGAACCCACACCCCACTTTTTTGTAGGTTCTTATTATAAAGATTCATAGGGACCCTACAAAAAAGTAGGTTTTGGGCTCTTAAGGTAGGGTGTAGGGTGCAAGGCAGGCAGCTAGTCCCAGAGGTGTAGATCAGCATGGCCGGATCCGAAATCGACGGCCTGTGCCGATGCAGCGGGCTGCTGAAACACTTGGCCAGCGTTGCTACTAAAGTAGGACAAGGTTGCACGAACCAAGGCGAGTTCACAGCTGTGAAGTTTTCCAAAAGTCGACACAAGCAAATTCCCTACTGTTTAAGGGGATACTTTCCCGAATAAACGAAAGGGTTCCTAA